AATAGATTGCAAATTGACGTCAGAAATGTTAGATTCGCATTCGCCAGATTTTCCGTCGCCATCTTGTAAACAACTCGCGCGCTGAGCGAACAGCCTTCTCAGCTTGCGCGCGCTCGCGCAGTGTCGTTCAGAAGGCGAGCGCTCGCGAGCGTTCGCTCTCCTGAACACGCCTCAGGTTGTATCATGTCTCTGACGTTATCATGACGTCAGCCGCGGCTCACTACACATGTACGCGGGCAATCAAAACGCTCTGACAGTTCACATGTACCGTTATATGGAGAAATGCGCATGTACAGAGGTGGCACATAGTGTTAGCCATCGAATAAAGTTGAAAATTAAAAATCGGTAAAATTTTTCCTAAAACCTTGAGAGTATCCTTAACTAGCTTGTGATGACCAACCGTTGGCGTTGAGCATATAGGAGCAGATTTTCTCGACAACATCACATTACTTACCAGAGCAATTAACATTCTGAATTCTGAAACTGGGCACCTTTGTAACATATGATATAAGACCGAATTCATAATTTTACATATTCTGATTATTCTGATTAGTCTGGTGAGCATCTTGTGGGGGCTGCCATTATGGTGAAATGGTGCACCGTGATTGGTTCAAGCTTCACATAGAGCACCGTGATTGGTTCAAGCTTCACATAGAGCACCGTGATTGGTTCAAGCTTCGCATACAGCCATCTATTGGCAGAATTTGTTTCGGAAAATTCCACTTTTCAAAAGATTATTACAAACCAATGTGCAAGAATTTTGGGGTGAACATTGGTGATTTATAATCAGGATAATGTATTTAACTTATAACCAGTGTGGTGACGAGATTTGATGATGCAACGTAGTACGGAGATGATGCAATAATATGACTCATCGTCACATGTCTGAACACCTTGCACCCAGCCAGCGGAATTATACAGAATCAATACGGCACGCGGGCTGCTCATTGATTATGTTCAAGGCCGTACGCAAGAAATTTTCTGTAGAGGGGCAAAGGTACTCCCCATGCCCCCTGTGCCCTAACGTTTTGCAATTTCACATTTCTTTATTTAAAGTGTAATATTTCTTTGATGATTTAAGATAACCTTTTGTCACATTTCTATTTTATTTCTAAAAGTGTACAGTATTTGTCTCATTAAAAGACATACTCTGAAAATCTCTAGGGGGCAACTGCCCCTGCTGCCCCCCTGCTGCGTACGGCCCTGGTTATGTTGATCTGGGCCGTGTGGCATAATGAGATGCCTATAAAAGGGAGAGAAAAGAAGGTTCGAGAGGGAGTCGGGTGTGGCACTGGCTAAGCCGTCCCCCGCATCCATATGTTGTACATATGTATTGAAATAAAGACGTCTATATCCTATATAATATACACAACCTCTTCGACCATCATTGTCTACGATCACCGACCGATGAGTTAAAGTAACGACGAAATACCAGGGATACACCAGCTTTAAACCTGGTTCCATGAGGTGTCAAACAAAAGTGAACAATAATCACTCTTGGCCCATGGCCTAATTAGAGAATTAGACAAATTATCGGACGTCACCAAAAGGCACTGACATGGCACAAAGATGTCGATTGTAGACGAATCAAGTTCAAGGTGTAGGATGTGCATGGTGCCTACAAGTGGGAGTGTAGGTGTGTGTGGAAGGGGGTAGACATGCAACCACGAGTGGGAGGGGGGGGAATGGGATTCACAATGTTGTAAATGATAAATAGAAAGGGAGAAAGTGTCTTTTGTCACTTGTTTTCACTTTTATTTCTTACTGTTGCTACTTCTTTAACTGTTATATTTTCTGTTATAATCTCACTGTATAGAGCGAGTTTTTCATTTTGTGTGCCATGCACATGCAGTCAAGCTGATGAGTGGGTTTCTCTTTTTGAATTATATGAAACACGTATAAATCGCAATGTTATTCTGGGAGCTGGCGGCATTACTAATCCTTTCCATCCCTAGTGTTTGTGAGATGGCTCAACCTCTTCTACATTCTCCTACTTGTAATCGCCATTCTCTACCGCCATAACCTCACCCAGATGAGAGACCGGATACCGGAGGGCGCGGCAGGTTAAACCTATACGTGTGAGTCACGGGACAGTGTGGAATACGGCGGCACACGCAAGGTTGCATTTCGTTAGTCGCTCGTGTAGCCAGCCTTTTCTATATATGTATGTGGAATTCGTGTAGTGATGTAAAGGGATGTAAAGGTGTCACAAATCTTCGGTGAGTTACTAGTGTTTTTCATAATCTTAAAGACACTGAAAATCGTATAATTGCTGATTTAGCTGAATGTGAATCATACCACATTGGTAGCTATATAGTCGTCCTTGTTTTGGTTTTAGTTTAATTTGCGGTTGCGGGTTGAGAGGAAATTCTCGATGTTCGCAGTTATATTTCCGTGATGTTTATGCTGTTTAAGAGTTTGAGGGGCAGTTCAGTTAATAGGGTACCGCGTTTCTGCAGTTTTAGAACTTCGTTCAGGATATAATTGTTGGGATAGAATTCTAGGAGTAATTTAGTAAAGTCCTTTTTTGGTGTATTGTTTCAGTGAATCGCACACTATTGGCACACAGTTTGGTATCGGCGGCACGCTATCGTTATCGTCGCCGTTGTCGTGGCCGTAGTCGAACGCGCGCACGCATGCACTGTCGCCGCACTATCGTAATTGTTATCGTCATCGTTGTCGTCAGTGTCCCCAACACGTTGGTGGTGGCATAATAAAACAAAGAAGAGACAGATTCTGTTGGTGACGAATTACATCTTCGTTTCGTTGGCTACATCCTACATTATTCACGAAGATTTTAGTAAGACTGTCTAAAGAGCATTATGGAGACAAGGTCAGGAAAGCTGTATAGACAACCACTGTCATCGGCCAGTCTTCCAGAGCTGTCGAAGCTGGCATATAATCCGACGGTGAAGTCATCCTCAGCAAGTTACGCTGGTTTGGCTCAAGGTGCGAGTAAGGGCAATCAGGATGAGGAAGGATCGGTTATATCTTCAAGGTCATCCAGGTCCATCAAATCGGATTCTTCGCATTCTTCACGAAGGAGGGAGCGGGTAGAGTTGGAAAAGAAGGTGGCCATGCAGAAAGTTGAGCTTCAGTTCGACGAGCTTGAGGCAGAGTTAAAACTAGGACAGCTAAGGCGTAAGAGAGAGCTAGCCAAGACACAGGCTCTGCTCGAAGTAATTCAGGAGGTCGAGCAACGCGAGTCACAGGAGGACATCGGCGCTGAGATGAATGCCCCTTTGTCATTCGCTGCACCTGAGTTTGTCCCATCCACCGTCGGAGCTCCTGTGATCGACGCACCGGTTTGTCACGTTGACGATCAACATGCTATTCAACCAGGCCCAGGGAATGCGTCCTGCTCGGCTCCTGCGCACCCATCAAGTGCGGTCAAGGATGAGAGCGTAATCAAAGAATTGGTTGACTCCTTCCGGCTACCACCATTACGCGTTGAAAGGTTTGATGGTGACCCTTTGAGATATCCTGCATGGGAATCAGCTTTTACAAGTCTGATAGAAAACAAAGCTGTATCTGGGAATGAAAAGCTGAATTTGCTTAGCCAACATCTGGGTGGTGAGCCTCGTGCAATGATTAGTAATTACATTTTGCTTCAAGATTATAATGCCTATTACCTTGCCCGTAAGGAGCTCAAGGATCGTTACGGTAACAACTCCGTTGTAGCTAGAGCATTCTTGACGAAGCTGCAAAGTTGGCCGAGGGTCAATCCTAGAGATGCGCATGGTCTTAGAGCGTTTTCAGACTTTCTGAATGAGGTAAGCGCGGGGAAGAAGATGATCCCAGATCTCGGAGTGCTAGATTACCCTCAGGAGAACTACAAGCTGGTGGCTAAGGTACCGAGTTATGTTGAAAACAGATGAAGAGGTGTCGTACAAAGTTACCTCAATATGGAAACCTTTCCCAGCTTTGAAGTGTTTGCTGTGTTTATGAGAGAAAGGGCCCGAGAAGCAAACATCCCGATGTTTAACGTGGTACAATCAGCTAACTCAAGCCATGGTCAGCAAGGAACGGCCCAAGGTTGGAAAGCACCAAAGAGGTCGTATGCAACCCTTGCAGGTCCAAAGGAGGCGTGTGAGCTGTGCAAGGGGCCCCATGAGTCGGTGAATTGTCGGAAGTCGCAAGGCGCGGATAACCATTGATACTATGGGTGATACACATGCTCTCCAGACATACATAATCTCTAACACAGCAGTGAGCAGTCAGGAAGGCGGTAGGGATATTCAGCTTCCGAATGTGTATACGAAGAATTCCCTACCGGTGACGAGGGACCACATCCCGACTCAGAGCGATGTAGATACGTGGAATCACTTGAGGGGCCGCGTAGTGGTGCCGGAGCTCGAAGAGGAAATCGGTCTGATGTTGGGTAATGCCGTTGCCAAGGCTTACACTCCGTTGGAGGTGGTCACAGGGCCCCCTGGTTCGCACTACGCGGCAAGAACAGTGTTAGGATGGATACCATGGAACATCATCCGCCACGGAGCAACGCAGAGAGTGGCAACAATAAATAGGGTTGAACTTCGAGCCATTGAAGACCATGAGCAGTTGACGAGGATGGTAATAGAAGCAGCGAAGATTGATTTCCCAGAAGTCGGATCTGAGGAGAAGTCGAGCATGTCTGTAGAAGATAGACGGTTTGTCAAGTTAGTTGATGAGAATATGAAGTTTGATAATGGACATTATGTCCTTCCAATACCCTGGCGAGATGGGAATGTGACACTACCAGACAACAGACGATTAGCACAGAGAAGGTATGAGTTGTTGGAGAAGAGGTTAAATGCTGACCCTGGGCTCAAGGCTAAGTACACGGGGTTTATGGAGGAGATGATGCGGAAAGGATATATGGAGGAAGTGGAAGAGTTGGACCTGTTGGCAGAAGGGTTTGGTATCTGCCCCATCATCCAGTGTACAGTGTCAAGAAACCAGGCAAATTATGGGTTGTCTATGACTGTGCTGCAAAGTGGGCTGGAGTATCCCTGAATGACATGCTGTTACAGGGGCCGGATGTGACGAATACCCTGATAGGTGTACTGATGAAGTTCAGACAGGAGAAGATTGCGGTCACAGCAGATATCGAGGGTATGTTTCTGCAGGTGGTGGTTGCTGAACAGGACAGAGACTGCCTTCGATTCTACTGGCTGCCCGCGGATGGACAAGCTGTCCTAACGTATAGGATAACCAGGCATTTGTTTGGTGCCACTTCGTCTCTGGCTTGTGCCAACATGGCTCTGAAGAAGACACTGGCCGATCATGGTGACAAGTATGGGGTAGAAGCCAGAAATGTGATGAACAAGAACTTCTATGTGGATGACTGCCTCTCCTCTGTGAATAGTCAGGAGCGAGCATTCGTCTTGGTGAATGACCTGACTAACCTTTGTCTGGATGGAGGCTTCCATCTGACCAAGTGGATGAGTAATGATAAAGAGGTGCTAGGTGCCATCCCCGAACAGGAAAGAGCGCCTGAGCTAAAATCATTGGACTTGAACATGGATGATCTGCCGGTAGCGAGAGCACTTGGTGTGCAATGGTCACCTCAGTCAGACACGCTCAGCTTTAATGTAGCGCCTGCGGAAAGAAGCTTAACGAGGAGAGGGCTGCTATCTATCGTAAGCTCGGTGTTTGACCCACTGGGTTTGGTAGCCCCCTTCGTTCTTCCAGCAAAGATCCTGCTTCAAGAAGTTTGCCGTCAGGGTCTGGAATGGAACGAGCCAATTGAGGGTGTTTCGCTGCAGCGATGGGAAGTGTGGCTGCAGGAACTGATCAGACTCAAAGAATGGAACGTACCCAGATGACAAAGTCGGACCTGTCCTCAGTGGTAATAAGTCGGCAGCTTCACGTCTTTGCAGATGCAAGCGAAGAGGGCTATGGAATGTGTGCCTACCTCCGACAAGAAGATAGTAATGGCAGGGTTCAGGTGTCTCTTGTGTTGGCGAGGGGTAGGGTAGCTCCTCTTAAGTATGTCTCCATTCCAAGGCTAGAATTAACTGCAGCTGTGATGGGTGCTCGCCTTGCAAGTACTGTTCTGACTGAGTTGGGCGTGAAGGAAGTTCATTATTGGACTGATAGCCAGACCGTACTGAGGTACCTACAGAATGATTCAATGAGATTCAAAACGTTTGTAGCCAACAGGGTTGCAGTAATTCGGGATCTGACTGAACCCAACCAGTGGAGATACGTCAGGACGTGTAATAATCCTGCCGATGAAGCTTCCAGAGAACAAAGAATTGCTGAGTTCCTGGGGAATGAGAGGTGGGTTAATGGTCCAGACTTCCTTAGGCAATCCAGTAAACAGTGGCCAGACTTACAGGGGATTGTGCCTGATGTTGCAGAAGGCGACCTAGAAGTCAAGGTGTCTAATGTAGTAACAGTAGAGGGACGATGTTGTTTTTTGGATGACTTACTCACGAGGTATTCAAGTTACCCAAGGTTGAAGAGAGTAGTGGCCATGGTACTGATGGATGCCGAGAAATTCAAGAGAGGCGCTGACTCCAGGCCAAGTTGCAATCGCCCAACCCTGGATCACTCGAAGGCTGCAGAAAGACTGATATTGGCTCACAAACAGCGGAGATTCTTCGCAGCAGAATTAAAGGCTCTGAAAGGTGGTAATGTTGACGAAGTCAGGAGAGCGTTAAGACGTAGCCCGCTGCGAAACCTAGATCCCATTCTGATTGATGATCTTATATCAGTAGGTGGTAGGCTGAGGAGAGCAACCCTCCCAGAAGAAATGAAACACCAGGTGCTTATCCCAAAAGATTCGGGAATGGCACAACTGGTTGTTATGGAGGCTCATGCCCAGGTTGGGCATATGGGCAGGGCGGCTATGCTAGCAAACCTATGGCAGAGGTACTGGCTGATTGGAGCAAGTGCGGTGATCAAGAGTGTGGTTAGTCGATGTGTTACTTGTAAGAAGAATCGTGCTGGTCCATCAACACAGCAAATGGCATCGTTGCCTGCTGAGCGGGTGATGAGTGACAAGCCACCCTTTGAGAATACGGGCCTTGATATGTTTGGTCCCTTTGAGGTTAAGCAGGGAAGGAGCATGGTGAAGAGATATGGTCTCCTGTTCACTTGTTTGGCCACGAGAGCGATTCATCTGGAGATCGTGCATACCGCAAATGCCGATTCCTGTCTAAATGCCATACGCAGGTTCATCTCCAGGAGGGGTGAAATATCATTGTTGAGGACAGATAATGGCACGAATTTTGTGGGCGCTGAGGAGCTAAGAAATGCTGTCAAGGCTTGGAACCAGAGTCAAATCCCCGAGTGGCTGCGGCAGAAAGGGATAAGCTGGGAGTTTAACCCCCCTGCAGCCTCCCACTTCGGTGGTGTCTGGGAAAGGTTCATAAGGACTGTTCGCCAAGTTATGAAAGGCGTGTTAAGGGAGCAACATCTTAGACTGGACGATGAAGGTCTCAGTACCTTGTTCTGCGAGGTAGAGAACATCGTGAATGGCCGGCCAATATCTACGCTGTCCTCTGATCTGGACGATCTGCAGCCGTTATCTCCACGGATGCTGTTGACCATGAGGGAGAAGACATCAATGCCTCCCGGTGTCTTCGATAGGAAGGATGTTTATGTCAGAAGACGTTGGCGACAGGTCCAGTATTTAGCGGACTTATTCTGGACAAGGGGGCGCAAAGAGTACTTGCCCCTATTGCAGGCCAGGCAGAAATGGCATGACCCTCAAAAGAACCTAATGCGGGGCGATATTGTACTCGTGGTGGAAGAATCGCTGCCGAGAAATAGCTGGCTTCTTGGTAGAATTGTGGACGTTAAAGCGGATACAAAGGGTTTTGTGAGATCCTGTTCCGTTAAGACTCGGCATTCTGTGTTAGATAGGCCAATCGCGAAACTGTGTTTGTTATTGGAGTCTGAGCGGGACAAAAAGTAGAACCGGCTAGTATAATGGCGGAGTTAAGAGGGCTGTCCATTACAGAATCGGTTAATGGTCGTTATTGAACGTTAGGTACTTTCATGTTGAGCATTGCGTAACTTTCGGTTATGGTTTGCATGACACATTACCGCGGTGAGTCATAGCACTGTGTTATGTAATTGTTTTACAATTAAGGGGCCGGAATGTAGCTGCCGGAGTTTGGCTTAGTTTGGAAACGATAGAGGGCGCGGCAGGTTAAACCTATACGCGTGAGTCACGGGACAGTGTGGAATACGGCGGCACACGCAAGGTTGCATTTCGTTAGTCGCTCGTGTAGCCAGCCTTTTCTATATATGTATGTGGATTCTGTAGTGATGTAAAGGGATGTAAAGGTGTCACAAACCTTCGGTGAGTTACTAGTGGTTGTTCATAATCTTAAAGACACTAAAAATCGTATAATTGCTGGATTTAGCTGAATGTGAATCATACCACATTGGTAGCTATATAGTCGTCCTTGTTTTGGTTTTAGTTTCAATTGCGGTTGCGGGTTGAGAGGAAATTCTCGATGTTCGCAGTTATATTTCCGTGATGTTTATGCTGTTTAAGAGTTTGAGGGGCAGTTCAGTTAATAGGGTACGCGTTTCTGCAGTTTAGAACTTCGTTCAGGATATAATTGTTGGGATAGAATTGTGCTAGGAGTAATTTAGTGAAGTCCTTTTTTGGTGTATTGTTTCAGTGAATCACACACTATTGGCACACAGTTTGGTATCAGCGGCACGCTATCGTTATCGTCGCCGTTGCCGTGGCCGTAGTCAAACGCGCGCACGCATGCGCTGTCGCCGCACTATCGTAATTGTTATCGTCATCGTTGTCGTCAGTGTCCCCAACACGTTGGTGGTGGCATAATAAAACAAAGAGACAGATTCTGTGGGTGACGAATTACATCCTCGTTTCGTTGGCTACATCCTACACCTACATCTTCTCTCCTTCCAATCGGCTTGTAAAAAAACCATGTACACATTTAAGTCACTGGCTTATACTACAGATATGAAGTGATCATAGCACTACTTGAAAAATGAAGCCGTGGAATGGGTAATGCAATTTGAATAGATTTTGCATTTTCACTACTTGTGTATGTATAAAAAGTTAGTATATAGAATACTTAGACGAGAGTAGTTAGATATTTAGAGACACTAAGAGATAAAATAGACATGTAATTTACTAAGTATTAAATTATTTTTAACAACTATCATAAATTATCCAACAATCTGTAATAATATTGCAGTACAACTACACATCAACAACATGATACAACTGCCAGTAAATCAATCTCTCTCACACGCACGCGCACGCGCACACGCACACGCACACGCACACGCACACGCACATATTTATATTCAGTTATTTATCAGTAGTGCATGATAGAAGACATCCACAAAACACATGCATTTAATTATTTCAGGTGATTATAATAACATTGTCGGCATGCTACATGTAGTTCACTTGCTCTTTACCAACGTCCACTTTCAACAACTCATGTCTTAGCACCCAGCAAACTGATGATTTCTTCATAGACAAGGAAGGTAATCGCTGTTGCAGGCGAAACTCGCAGTAAACTTGGGAAGAGACCTTTGTAAAACCCTCTGTACCCTTCGAAACTCCAGGTCTTACGGATGATGTCAATGGCACCATTGTGTGTAGCATGCTGATCCTGAAGACGTGCGCGCACCACTTGATATGGGTAGGTGATGGAGGTGGCGATCATCTTTGATGAAGCACCACATGCAAGGTACTCGATGACAGACAATTTCGCATTATGGGCTCTCTCTCTGTACTTGTTATAGACAATTTTCATGTCTTCATAGATGACGAATTGCAGTGCACCGTGGGACACACCTATGAGGCCTGGTAAAAAGCCCTTATACAGGCCTCTGATACCTTCATACTTGTAGACTTTCAGCAAGCAGTCAGTCATTCCCTTGTAGCGCTTTGTGTTGTCCAACTTGACTGACTCATACTGCAGACACAGTCTCGTTTTAGTTACCCATATGGGATTTGTGAGTACCAAAGTCAGGACGCCAGATTCGCATGCTGCAAGCATGTGCTGACTGGCATGTAGTGGCCTACTCGTATCGCCTTGATTCATAGACGACTTAATTGCATTGTAAAAGAGAAAGTAAAATCCCCAAGCTGCCCCATTACCAATAAGATTTGGTGTCACTCCTTGATAGAGACCAAGGAAGCCATCTGCCCTCACGATGCTCCGCACAGCATGCATAACACCTTGGTACTTTGGTCTGCTATCGAGTTGGTTGTCATTAACAGCAAATCTGATTTTAATAAGGTCAAGAGGATGGACAGTCATGGTGGAGGCAACACCACCTGTGATGCCAGCAAGAAGGAACTCATACTTGGTGTTGGTGAAAAAGTTCAGCGACAGATGCTTGCGTGTTGCAATTTTCAATGGTTGTTGGCTCATGGTCATTGGCGCTTGTGAAATTGTCTGACCTTTCTGAGTTCTGAAATAACGTGATAAATTAACTACAATTATTATTTGCAATTACAATATCACATAATAACTCTTAGTAGTATAGGCTACATTAAAGATAGCTTCCCTCGAACTTTCAAGCGGCGATGATTGAAATGATAAAATGTTTTTATTCCCTGTTTTATACTAATATAAATTTCACTGTTTTGTTTCAGGATCTGAAAGTCTGAAATCTGGGCGAGAGATGGCGCTACGCCTAAAATGAAAATGATCACCATTTTGGTATTCGATTATCGCGCAAATAAAAGCAATAAAATATTCCAGTCAAATTTCTGTAACAAAGAATCTAAAACACAATATTACACGTAGGTACCGTATGATTAAGTAGGTATAGGTAGGTAAATTTAACAAAATCGAATGAATTTGAAACATGTGGGTCAAACGGTTCTTGAATTATCGTTGACCGTAGGCAGACACTGAAATGCATAGTGAATCTACCTAATTTGCATAATTAAAAAAAAAATCAAAACCCCCCGTGTTATGTTTTGGGGCCAGTCCTTATTCATTCACATACCAAAAATGAGCAAAATCCGTTGAACCTGAACTGACTTATGGCCATTTCCATTTTTGCCAAAAAGTGGGCGTGGCTCGAAAGTAGGTCAACTGGCGTGCTCCAAAATAGGACGTTCACATCTCTCCCATAGGAGTAACAACTGTATGCAATTTGAAACATGTGGCTCAAACGGTTCTCAAGTTATCCTTGACCGTAGCCAAATGTTGACGGACGGAGGGATGGATGGACGACGCCCCACAGCTATAGCTCATATTGACGATGTCAAGGTGAGCTAATGAGGCAAAAATGAATTATTTTAACATTGCACGTTTGTACTTGCCTATATATGTCATAGCTAAAAAAAATTGCTCAGGAATACGTTCATTCAAAGCTTTTAGACTACAAATTGAAGGTGTCGGGTCGAATGTTTCAAACAGCGGTTACGTTTGCCGCACTGCGGCGATGTTTTGATGCGTTGTTGCCATAGATGCGGTGTTGCCAAGCACTGGTGGTCATGAAGGCTGCATATGCTCATAGATATCATATAATACATGTATATCTACATGTGTTATATGATATTTATAGCTGTGCTGATACGTAACCGGTGTCGACTCTTGCCGCCATGATACAGAACCAAGGTGAAACGCGTTTTTTTGAGTTATTTTTCGTTGAGGAAATATAGGCTTGATCGATACATATTGTCAAGAGCGTATAAAGAAGGAGAGCGTACAACCTATTCTACAGATACAGCCTTAATTCACTTAACAGATTACATTCGGAATGAAACAGATAAAGGGTATTTCACTGGGATGGTACTTTTAGATCTACAAAAAGCATTCGATACAGTTGACCACTCTATCTTACTATCCAAACTAAAAGCAATTGGTCTACACTATAACTTATAAGGTGGTCGAATGGTTCCAGGCCTATCTGTGCAGAAGAAGCCAGATGACAGATGTCGGAGGTACCTTTTCTACAAAAAATGATATAACATGTGGTGTACCTCAGGCACCGATTTTAGGACCGTTGCTATTTTTAATATATGTAAACGATATGGCAGACGCTGTAAAAACTAAGCTTTTATTGTATGCTGATGACTCAGCGCTGTTAGTATCAGGAACTAACATTCAGGTTATCCAGGAAAAATTAAGCTTGGAAATGGAATCGGTTAGTAGATGGCTGTGTGACAACAATCTATCCCTGCACTTTGGAAAGACAGAAACCATTCTGTTTGAATCAAAAAATAAAATCAGTCGACTTACAAACTTTGTTGTCACAAGCAATGGGTCAGATATTCAAAGTAAGACTGCAGTAAAATATTTAGGAGTAGACTTAGAACACAATTTGACTGCTGAAATTACAGGAAGCAAAGTTGTCAAAAAGGTCAACAATAGAATTTGTTGGCTAAATATTTAAACAAATCATGTAAAAAATTACTAGTTACTGCCTTGATTAATTGTCATTTCGATTATGCATGTAGTGTTTGGTACAGTAGTCTTTCAATGAAAACAAAATGCAAGTTGCAGGTATGCCAAAATAAAGCTATTAGATGTGTCCTAAATCTGGGGCCAAGAACCCACATAGGTGCAAGGGAGTTCCTGTCGGTAAATTGGGTTCCAGTCGAGTTCAGAGTAGTACAACTGAAGGTAAACCATGTTTTCAAAATTCTGCATAATCTCAGTCCCGAATACATGACTGATGGATTTACATTAACTTCGGAAATCGACGGCTTCAAAACTAGGGCTGGGGAGCTGTCAATCTTTAAACCAAGAGTGGGGGTCAATGGAAAAAAGACATTTATATACACTTCAATTGAAGCTTGGAACTCCCTACCACCTCACATTAGATCTGCAGCCAGATATATTAGTTTTAAAGGGCAAGTTAAAAAACACCTTATGGAAAAGGTTAAGACAATGGAAGACAGTGACTTCATATTTTACTAATCTCGTATAAATGAATAGATTAAATATAGGGGTGACATGATCTCATCACTATTAAAATTATCAGTGTATTTATACTTGATATGAGTATTATATTATATATAATTATATTACACTTATATAAATATGAGTGTGGGTGTATGTATGTATGCAATATGTATATAATGATGTACGTACATGAGTGTCGAAACGATGGTAAAGTGCACCTTAATCACTTTGCCTGCACAGGCTATACTGTAGTTTTTTTTCTTGTATCTATTTTTTCCTCATGTTGTATATGCACTGCTTTGTACTGTATCACTCAAAATTACCATTTTAACTGCCCAACATTATTGCACTTTTCGATACGTTAATTTATATCTATACAAATGTGAGTGTGTGCGAAATATGTTATGTTTGTATAATGTGGATATAATGGTGTACGAACCGAGTGTCGAAATGATGTGCTAAAAGGGTACTACTTGTACAAAATTTGATGAAGTTTTTTTTGTGTGTATTTAGTTTTTCTTCATGTTGTTCTGCACTGCTTTGTACTGTATTTACTCAGGAAACATCATTTCTACCGGCTAAACATTTACCGTAATCAGTTTACCTGTACAGAATATGCTGATGTTTTTTTTCTCGTTTATATTTTTTTTTCATGGTATATAGCACTGTTTTGTATTGTATCACTCAGAAAGCTTCTATTTTTTATTTTTTTATTTTTTTACTTTTTTTACTTTTTAACAGCTCAACACTTACCTTAATCACTTTACTTGTACATAATATGCTGAAGTTTTTTTTTTGTATATATTTTTTCTTTATGCTGTATGTCAATGTTTTTTACTGTATCACTGTATCACTCAGAAATTTTGGGGATTGTGGGTATATTTGCTATAGTTTATAGTATAGTATATATACAATGTTATGTTGGACCACAATGGAAATAAGTGTGTTAGCGACGCTTTTATGTGTTTTCATCCTCGATAATTTTCTAGCTGCATTTTGTTTATTTATGCTGTTATCGATGTAATGTATGCTTTGTTAATTATCGAAATGAACCAATCAAAAAAAAAAAAACGGTGAAAAGGTGAAACCATGTTTAGTTGCAGTATTAGTCGAATTAAGAAACTGTGCCCGTTTTATTTTGACGATTCTTTGTATTCGACGGTATTATTGATCAGCTGTCCTACCTTGTTAATATAACAAACCGCTTGTCCCTACGATGCTCCTATGCTGAGATAATGAGCGGTGAAAATCTGGTATTTTCGCCTAAAACCGACTCGAGATCAGTGTTTACTGCGACTGTCTCTCGCTTTCTGGCCAGTGTATTCAGTGTTTCTGGCCAAGCTTCCGGTCGCCGCTGTGTACCGCCGTGGTAGCGCTGACTCATGTCAGTACTACAGAGATTACTATACATCCAGCGTGAGGTGGGCACAAATGAGGGTCATCACTATGGCAATCAATAACAGACGTCATTCATTCCATTTGTCAATCATTGACGGAAACATGCGAGGTTTCCCGAAGTTATCTCAAAGCGAGAGACAGTCGCAATAAACACTGATCTCGAGTCGGTTTTCGGCAAAAATACCAGATTTTCACCGCTCATTATCTCAGCGTAGGGGCATCGTAGGGACATGCGGTTTGTTTTATATTAAGAAGGTAGAACAGCTGATCAATAATACTGCAACGAATAGTCAAAATAATACGGGGAAAGTTTATTAATTCGACTAATACTGCAACATGGTTCCAGCATTTCACCGTTGTACGCTCTCCTTCTTTATACGCTCTTGATATTTTTACAGTTATATTTTCAAATCTAACGTTCAGTTAAAGCGTAGCGAGTAATTTACTTACGTTTTTACAGTGGTTTGTTACAAAAATTTACGTGCGACTCCATTTTTAAGTATATACTTATAAGTAAGACACAATTACATTGTGCCGTTTATATTAAAACAGTTTTCCATCTTAACATAGTATAAATACATGGCTACATGAAGCCCATAGCACCGATAACATTGGCAACGAGGTCTATAACATTAGACAAGTGTTCGAAACTAAGGCGCGGCAAGCTGCCTACAAGAATTATTTTGCTGCCTGCTCTCAACTTAGGCAGCAAATGCTTGCTGCAAAGAAAATCCTCATAAACTAAGGTAAAAGCACCAAAGGTACAGCCAATTTCTGATGTAAACAATGGCCAGTTACCCAGGATTGCTTTTTTTTAAATCGCATTCTACGTTATTTAGTGGGGCGGCTATGTCCGAGGTATGCACTTCTGGAAAGAAGCATGAAAATTTGCCCTAGGGGGTTTTCGAGTATGCCGATTTCAAAAATTGCGGGATGTCACTCCAACGTTTCTCGCCAAAAAATAAAAATTAAAAATGGCCACCAGAAAACATGTTTTTGCCCATAAATCAGCTGTAAGTGCCCCGATTACCATGATCTTGGTGTCTATACCTATGTTTTTGAAGTCAAAGAATACACATGTCAAATATCATAAGACTAGCTGGGCTACCCGGCGATGCCCGGGATAAAGAAGAAGAGAGCTAGAATTTAGTC